CCCCCGCCCCCGCCCCCCCTTCCCGGCCATCACATAGCCCATCGCCATCGCACACCCTGCCACCAGCACACACCCCACTGCCAGCACGCCCCACCGCCATCGCACACCCCCTACCATCGCACATCCCCCAGGCAGCACACACCCCACCACACACAGCCATTGCACACCCCTACCAACCATTGCACACCCTGCAGCCCGCACACCCCTGCCCACTCACCGCCCGCCCCACACAGCCATCACACCCCGCAGCCGTCACAACCCTTCCAGCATCACAGCCCACGCAGCCAGCACACACTCCACAGCCACGGCGCCCCTGCCCAGCCATCGCACAGCACCTCCATCTCATACCACCCACAGCTGTCACAGCCGCTGCCCACACCCGTCACCCAACATGGCAAAACAGCACCCACACAATACCCTGTGCCAGCACAGCCGCTCACAACCATCACCCACGCTGCACTCAGCACCCACAAAACTGGTCGTCACCCTCACAAACACCCACAACTCCCATGCAACACCCTCACACAACACCCCACCACCATGCACAACACCCGCTGCACACAGCCTTCCCCCACAGCCCTGCACAGCGGCTCCATCACACGCGGCTGCACAACCCCCCCCCAGCACACCCCACAGCCACAGCACCCCAATACCTGGCAGCAGCTGTGCCTGGGGCCGGGGCTGTATGTGGGGCTGAGCCTGGCATGTGGGGCTGTATCTGGCTCCCGGGGCTGCCTGTGGGCTGTGTCCAATATGTGGGACTGTGCCCGGGGCTGTGCCCGGTGCCTGGGACCGTACATGGGGCTGTGCCTCATGCCTGGGGTTGTACGTGGAGCTGTACCAGATGCCATTTGTGGGGTTGTACCCACTGCCCAGGGCTGTGCATAGGGCTGTACCAGGTGCCAAGGGCTGCCTGTGGGGCTGTGCCCAGGGCTGTATACAGGCTGTGCCTGGGGCTGTGCCCAGTGCCCGGGGCTATACCTAGGGCTGTACCCATCGAGGCTGTGCCTGGGGCCTGGGGCTGTACAGAGGGCTGTGCCCATTTGGGCTGGACCCGGTGCCTAGGGCTGTACATGGGGCAGTACATAAGGCTGTAGCTGTCGGGGCTGTGCCCGGGGCTGTACATGGGGCTGTGCCTGGTGCCTAGGACTGTACACAGGGCTGTACATGAGGCTGTAGCCATTGAGGCTGTGCCCAGTGCCTGGGGCTGTACCTGGGGCTGTGCCTGATGCCTAGGGCTATGCCTAGGGCTGCACCCGTCAGGACTGTGCCCGGTGCCTGGGGCTGTACACGGGTGGTGGCCGGGGCCTGGGGCTGTACAGAGGGCTGTGCCCATTTGGGCTGTGCTCAGTGCCTGGGGCTGTACATGGGGCTGTACAGAAGGCTGTAGCTGTCGGGGCTGTGCCCGGTGCACAGGGCCATACATGGGGCTGTGCCTGGGGCTGTGCCTGGTGCCTAGGGCTATATCTAGGGCTGTACCTGTTGGGGCTGTGTCCCGGTGCCTGAGGCTGTACATAGGGCTGTAAGCATCGGGGCTGTGCCCGGTGCCTAGGGCTGTGCATTGGGCTGTGCCCAGTGCCCGGGGCTGTTCATGGGGCTGTGCCCGGTGGCTGGGGCTGT